ATATATCTTTTACTTTTACTTTATGTGTCTGGATGTTTTTCTTACACATATGTCTGTGCAGCGTGTACATGCCTATGAGCCATCATATGAGTACTTGACATTGAACCCGGGACTTCTGAAAAGATATATCGTATTCTTAACCATGGAGCCATTTCTCCGGCCCCTTAGTTGAAGTTTCTATTGCTGTGATAAAGACTATGACCAAAAGCAACTCTGAGAGGAGAAGGTTTATTTCATCTTACAGCTTCCATCATCCAGGGAAGTCAGGGCAGGAACTCAAGGCAGGAACCTGAAGGCAGGAGCTGAAGCAGAGGCCATGGAGTAATGCTACTTACTGGCTTGCTCCTCATAGTTGCCCAGTTTACTTTTTTTCCCTAAAGTATGTTACAGTTTTTATTTTATTTTATTGAGCTCTACATTTTTCTCTACTTCCCTCCCTTTGTTTCCCATCCCCTTCAACCCTCTCCCATAGTCCCCATGCTCCCAATTTACTCAGGAGATCTTGTCTTTTTCTACTTCCTATGTAGATTAGATCCATGTATCTCTTTCTTAGGGTCCTCATTGTTGTCTAGGTTCTCTGGGATTGTGATTTGTAGGCTGATTTTCCTTGCTTTATGTTTAAAAACCACTTATGAGAGAGTACATGTGATAATTGTCTTTCTGGGTCTGGGTTACCTCACAACACTCAAGTCCAAATGGATCAAAGACCTCAACATAAAGCCACACAGAACCTCATAGAAGAGAAAGTGGGAAGTATATTTGGCAAAGGAGACCACTTCCTAAATATAACCCCAGTAGCACAGACACTGAGAAAAACAATTAATAAATGGGACCTCCTGAAACTGAAAAGCTTCTGTAAAGCAAAGGACACGGTCAACAAGACAAAATGACAGCCTACAGAATGAGAAAAGATCTTCACCAATCCCACATCAGACAGAGGTCTGATCTCCAAAATATACAAAGAACTCAAGAAATTGAACATCAAAAGAACAAATAATCCAATAAAAAAAATGGAGTATAGACCTAAACAGAGAACTCTTGAGAGAGGAATCTAAAATGGCTGAAAGACACTTAAGGAAATGTTCAACATCCTTTGCCATCAGAGAAATGCAAATCAACACAACTCTGAGATTCCATTTTACACCTGTAAGAACGGCCAAGATCAAAAACACTGATGACAACTTATGCTGGAGAGGTTGTGGGGAAAAGGGAACACTTCTGCATTGCTGGTGGGAGTGCAAGCTGGTAAAACCCAGTTTACTTTCTTATACGGACCAGGACCACTGCCCAGGGGTGGCACCACCCACAGTGGGCTAGGCCCTCTTACATCAGTCACTAATCAAGACAATATCACGCAGACTTGCCTACAGCCCAATCTGATGTGGCAGCTGGGTGGGATGGTGGCACATACAACACACACACCTTAAATCCCAGCACCCAGGAGGCAGAGGCAGGAGGATCTCTGTGAGTTTGAGGCCAGCCTGGTCTACAGAGAGAGTTTCAGGACAGCCAGGACTATACAGAGAAACAAAAGCAAAACAACAGCAACAGAAAAATAGATTCCCTCCTTCCAGAAATGTCAGGGTTTGTGTCAAGTTGAGGAGAGCCATCCAGCACCCCTCTACCTCTACCTTGTGATGGGTCCTGGGGAGGAACCCGCCTGGTAAGCTTTTGGAAAATAAGTGCATAAAAATATATCCGATAGTGAAAGTGTGAAATCCAGCTTCAGAAAGGCTGCTCAAAAGGTAGAGAATACCACAGACACGCAGTTTGGGTCTGGCTCCCTTTGGTGTCTGGTTAGTCTTTCTGCAAGCTTTGTACAGTAAAGTTTACAAAATTAAAATATAAAACGCACAGATTTACCCGATCAGTGTACCAACCGTGTAATACAATGCATGAATTGAAGATGAGAACTAAAATAAGATTTTAGCCCGATTAGTTTATCTGTAAGCTTTTTATAGTGATGTTTATAAAATTAAAAATCTAAAAAACCAGATACACCTGATCAGTGTACCAACCCTGTAGTACAGTGGATGAACGGATGAACACTAAGATAAGAATATAAAGGCCAAGTTGCTTCCGCGACAGATTAAACATTTGGCAGGTTGAGCTTCAGGAGCAAGGACACCGTGGCAGAGAATGCCGCCTAGCCTGTTACTAAATCCCTGAGCTCTGAGCAGTTTGGGCAGCACTTTGCTTGCTCTCAAGGTCGACTGTCTCTGCCACACACAGATCCAAGTGTAAAGTTCCAAGCAGTGTCAGAGCTCCTAATGGGCCGTGTAAAATGCAAGCAGTGTGTTTACGTTACACCCACAGGTTCTCCCTGCACTGTCTCTACAGATCCACCACCGATGGACGTCCGTGTCCGACTTCCCATTCTGGTTTAGGTCACTTCTCACTTCTGTCTCACTCACTCTCATAATAAAAACGGAAAGTTTCTTTATCAGCTGCCTCCCGTGATCTCTGTAATCAAAGGAAAGAACACACACACACACACAGCCGAACACAGTTTAAGAGTGTGTGAGGAGAATTCTGAGTGCCTGTGAAAAGAGCTTGAAGAAAATGAGAGTCTTGTGACATTGGTTTCTTCAAAACCACGGAGTTGTTCTTGGGCTGTGTTTCTGTGCCCCTCCCAGGTGTAGCAGATGGGAGTGAGTTTGCTTTAGAGTATTGTTACAGCTGACTTTGTTATTTGTTTATATGTCTCTGAAAAAATATGGCTTTGCCATGTGCAGTTTGTCCTTGTGATTGCTCACTTTACTCGTGTGAATCTGTTTAACCCTCTGAGTATAGTCTGATGCTCTGCGGGGCAGTGGAGGCGCATGCCTTTAATCCCCGCACTTAGGACGGAGGCAGGCCGACTCTATGAGACTGAGGCCAGCCTGGTTTACAGAGTGAGTTTCAGAACAGTCAGAGCTACATAGAGAAAGCCTGTCTCAAAACACCACACACACACACACACACACACACACACACACACACACACACACGTCTGATGCTTTAAATAAAAGCTGACTATTGCATGAGACTTTAGCCTGCTTCATTTTTAGGCTCCATTCTCACAAGTTTACTGCCAACTAGAGTGATAAACACGCACAGCACAGACACAGACAGACAGACAGACACACCCTTCTGTGTAATATGGGCAGTATAGAACTCAAATCAATGATAAGGACAGGTCTGTCCTTTCTAGATTTCTGGTTTCGAGATTTCTAGAATTACAGCTGCTGTGCACACCCATAAACAGGTAAATCTGATGGGAGTGGTTCAGAGTCGCCTTCTCCAGCAACAGTTCCCCAGCTGGCTCAGCGTGTGCTCTGCCGCCGAGGCTGTGATCATCCTCTTAAGGACAGCCGACCTCAGTGCCCAAAGGGTGCATCAAACATCCTTAAAATAGATTTCACCCAACCATTTGCGTTCAACACTCTTACCTGCTGGTGTGATCTGAGATCACTGAAATTCACTTTCTTTCCCAAGTCTAGAATCACTGAGTTCTTAGTCTCCAGGATGTAATCGTCACTCATTGCCGGAGAAGCCTTTGTGGTTTTCTTCATCAGACCCTGGGGTGGTCTGTAAAAGAAATCCGCACGTCTATGAAATGACTAGTCAGTGTAGAGGTCAGAGTGGGTAAAATGATCACCTGACCTCAGCACTGTAGGTAGAGGCATTTTATTTTATTATTTTGAGACAAGATTCCACGTAGCCCAGGCTGGCCTTGAACTAGCTATGTAGTTGAGGGTGATCTTGAACTTCTGATCCTCCCACCTTTGACTCACAGCGTTAGAATTACAGGTGTGCAAACCACACGCAGTTTATCAGATGCTGGGCACCGAACCTAGGGCTTCATTCAAGCTAGGCAAGTGCTCTACCAAATAAACTACCTGTTTTGTTTTGTTTTTTTCAAGACAGGGTTTCTCTGTAGTTTTAGGGCCTGTCCTGGAACTCGCTCTGTAGACCAGGCTGGCCTCTAATTCACAGAGATCCACCTGTCTCTGACTCCTGAATGCTGGGATTAAAGGCATGTGCCACCACCGCCTGGCTGAACTGCCTAGTTTTAATTGCCAAGCATTGTGGCACACTGCCCTGGCACCCCATGGGCAGGTGAATCTTTGAGTTCCAGGCTAGCCTGGTCTACATAGTGAGTTCCAGGATAGCCAGGGTTACACAAAGAAACCCTAACCCTGTCAGAAGAAGAAAAAGAAGAAGAAGAAGAAGAAGAAGAAGAAGAAGAAGAAGAAGAAGAGGAGGAGGAGGAGGAGGAGGAGGAGGAGGAGGAGGAGGAGGAGGAGGAGGAGAAGGAGAAG